TATTCCTATAAGCTACCGATAGTGATTAGAAAATATAATGCAAAGTTATTTTCACAACAAAAATTTTAAAATTAGAAATAGTGTGATGGTGCCATGTCTGTAATCTCAGCACTCTGGGAGGCTGAGGCGGGAGGATTGCAAGTTCTAGCCCAATGTAGGCAATTTGATGACTTAAGGAGACCATCTCAAAATTTAAAATTTTTTTAAAAAAATTAGGAATGTCAGTGCAAAGGCCCTAGATTCATTCCCTAGTCCTTCAAAATATATACATATGTACATACATAAAAATAATGAAAAAGTAGAAATAACTTCAACAAGAATTTATAGAATCTATATGTTGAAGCCCTGGTAATTTGAGACAAGGTCTAGGTGGAGAGAGATGTCATTTTGGAGGGGATGGAACTACGAAAGGGACCGAGAGGTCCCTTTTATTTCCCCTTAGTTCTTAAATGGGTTCTTTGGCTGAATCTAGGAACCCAACTAGTACACCAACAGATTAACAAGATGAAAAAACTGAAGTTTTATTAATTTATATGTACATGAGACTGAATTCTAGAAATAAAGCATGATGTTTTTATACTTTTTAGAATTTGTACAGAAAGAAATTTGTAAAGGAATAACAGGAAAAGAGGACCTCTGGACTAGGAATGTGACTGAGATACATGGGCAAAGAAGATACAAAATTTAGTGGAAAGCAAAGATCACTTCAGAGAGAAGGAGGAAGGGAGGCATGGAGGGAAACGGAGGAGGAGGAAGAGGAAGAAACAATAAACAAAATAACAAAGTGATGAAAGCAAATGCTTTCAGGAAAATTCTGGAAGCTGGAGAGTCGAAGAACAAATGGAGACTGGCTTTGGTTTCTTCTCTTTTTCTATTAACAGCCTACAAGGGGCAGTCAGGGGGAACTGACAGTCAGCCACTTGACCCTCCTGAACAGCTTTGATTCCCCAAATTTTAGGACAGGTAGCGGTGGGTTTCTTAGAGGGGACCCCATGAAAACAGTCAAAATTGTGAGAGGGTGGGAGGCCCAGCACAACACACTATACTCATCACTTACTTCATTTCAGTTTATTGTGTTAGACATGCATGCCGCACTCATCACAGTCTACCTCTAAGAGTCTTACAAGAGAACATCCCTATTTTTGCCTCCTTGCAACCAGGTTCCAAATATTTTAATTCTACATGTTACAAACACTGTTATTCAATGCTCTTTTATACATGGATTCCTTCATCCAAGTCCCCTGACTGCATCTTTAACTTCAATCAAATGTTTCTCCAATTTTATCGTTTTTGAAAGAGTAATCAACACACTTTACCTTTCAAGAATTGACAGAGCCCTCCAGGAGCCTGAGGCAGGACAACTGTTAAGTTCAAGCACAGCTTGGACAAGTTAGCAACTTTGGGAGACCCTATCTCAAAAAGACAGGAGGGAGGCCACATGGCTAGAGATGTAGCCAAGTGCAAAGGCCCTGGATTCAACCCCGACTAAGGTAAAGAAAAAGAAAGAAAAAAGGACCTAAGAAGAATGTGAATTTGGTGTTGGAGTTACATACAGTGTTGAGGGACTTTAAAATTATTCACAGTTCTTTCTTCTTTCCAACTGAATTTCCCACTGGAAAACTCTTCAGGAACTTAAGCCACATCTCTTAAACAGAACAGAACATTTTGTACAGCAAAACAAGAGAGAAATTTCAAACTAAAAAGAGATTTCATCACAAGATTCAGATTGGGAAGGTAGCTGCCACCTACCTTTTGAGAGATTTCAAAATTTAGTTTAAAATATTCTCTATATCAAAGGCAAAGAATGAGAATAGAGAACCCTTAATTTTCAAGTACATCAAAAGCATTAAAACTTGGCTCTGTGCTTTCCAAGATTTGACAGCTAAATTTACAGGAAATTTTAATTTTAATTATATGAAAATTAACACCAATTACCCTGATATGTCTGGAATGATTTTTTTAAATGTAGACATTGTGTAAACTGATATTGTAGCAGGCCAAGTATAATTGTGGAAATTAGCTTCATCTGCCTATGCAAAGGGCATGCATCTTTTAGAATTTTAAGCCCACAAGGGTTTTCTAAGAAAGCCTGATATGATATTATTTTCCTTTCTATATATGCGTGCCTCCCAAATATTCAAAGTCAAAAGTTTCCCTTTTGTAAAATTTTTGTGCATTCCTTGTCAGGTTAATTTTACTACAAATGACTAAAATTTAGAAACTGGTTTATTTAGGTGAACTTCCTGTTAAACTTTTTAAAATCTATTATGGCCTCAAAAAGGAATTTAACAAAAAATACTTAAATTGTACACTAAATTTTTCCACTATATTTCAACTTCTTTTTTGTTGTTTGTTTTGGTTTTCTGAGACAGGGTCTCACTATGTAGATCAGGCTGGTCTTGGACTCCACAGCCCAGGCTGGCCTCAAACTTGTGGTGATCCTCCTGCCTGAGCCTCCTGAGTGCTGGTATTCAGGTATGTACCACCATGCTCAGCTTATTTCAACTTTTAATAAAATTTTCTTCTGACAAACCGAAAACTGATGGTCTATGAGAAAAAAAAAATTCTAAGATAGAGGAGAAACCATCTTTTAACAGAGGAGACATACAACACTTAACTCAGGGCTGCATGACTTGGAAAGGCCCCCTCATGCACTGGGTTGCTAAAAAATGGAAAGCTGTTGGGTTTGGGAAGGGAAACTTAACTGATTAGAACCCAACTGAGAAGCTTGTATTTCAAAAATGCAACTGCTGACCAAAAAAAATCTTACCACAAAAAGAATTGCACTGTCGGTGGCTAGATTGTCACTCAGCCCCTGAGACTCCCAGACCTTGAAGCAGGTTCACATATTCAACCACAAAGCACTACTGACATTTCTGATACTTCTCAGAGCTTCAGTGTATTATCCTCGGCTGGCTTGAAATGCTGGGGCCTGGTCCTTTCAGTTGGGTCAGTATATTCATAAAACCAAGGCCGACAGAAACTTAAGTGTTAGCTGCTAGGCGGAAACTTGGATTATAGCACTCTTGTAGTGGAAGAAGCTGCTACATCCTTTCAAGTTGTTTGAGACATGGTCCTCCAGGGAAGAAAAGATGGAACCAATTTAAATTAGTCAAAGCCACCCAGCCTCTCTTCTAGGGCCCTCAAGTAAACTTTGCTTATTATACTCTCACAATAATACTAAATTCTCTGCCCAAGAGCTGTTCCTGTCCCCCATTTTTAAACATGCAATATATGAAGCAGCAGGATCTAGAACTGCACATGCTCAGAAATGTGTCCTCTAAAGTCTCTCCAGTATGAAAAATGCATACGTCTTACTGTAAAATCCTCATGCTTCCTTGGTTCATAGATAAACTGCTTTGGGAGTTATCCCTAGCACTCTCTTCACTTGCAGCAAGTAATAAAACTTCCTTCACTCTTACCTCCTCCTGGTTGTGCTTATTGTCTTTGCACAAGAAACAAACACACTGCAAACATCAAGAATATGAAGAATTATTCAATCTTGTAACACTGCTGATTTTGTGTAAACTGTGCTTATACAAGTGTAAAACACAACACACTCTGTAATCAATCAATGGGCCCTTTGATTAGGCTTGTTTTTAAAAAAAATAGAATTTGCTCTACTACTTGTATGCTGGTTAGGTTCACACGCATATATATGACAGTCCTTAGATTTGGCCTGTCAAACTTGTAAGTTTACTATGCTAGGTGTTTTGTTTAATTGAACATAAAACTGTTATTAAATTTTGAGGATTTAACCATTGACTATCAATCAAAACATTAAGCAAAGAAAAAATGAAAATGTAAGGACTTAAGCAAAGAAAACGGTGCCTAGAGATAGCTAATTTTAATATATGGGCTAATAATTAGAGCATGATGACATGGGAGTTTTGCTCTTCACGTACAAAACAACTTCTTGGAATTAAAGCTGTAGCATTCCATCAAAATGCTGTCATTGATTTCTACTTTTCAACTACCAGCCTGTGCACGATGAAACTAAAAACAGAACCTAGGACATCAAAAGAATCAATGTGTTCTTATGAAACTCAGAAGACCACAGTGTCTCTAGTTATCATGACTTCCAGATGTCTAAAAAAAACCTAATGACTTATAGACTATTAATACATTAACATGAAAATTAATCTTTTGCTAATGTAAAGAATGTCTAACTAGCAGTAAGTAAAGCTCTGTCCAGTATTTTACCATGATTCAGAAAAAATATCTAAGTCTGGGCAATTTAAAACTTGTAACATTCAGTAAAGAAAATATGTCAATTTGATGAGGCTATCAGTATTCTGGCAAATATAAAGTGAAACTTATCAAAGTTAATAGGTTTTTAGCTTTAGCACATCTACTCAACAATTCATTCAGAAAGCTGCTAGGAATAACGAGGTAGGGAGGGAGAGAAGGAAGGAGAGAAAGAGGCGAAGAGAGGAAAAGAGAGGGAGGGAGAGAGAGACAGACAGAGAGGGAGGAGATTCAGAGAGGCCCACTGATGAGGTTAAGAACCAAATGGGTCAGGAAAAAGAGGGGAGGGGGACAAATGAAACACAATGGCATTGGAAAATAAGGTACTTCTCACATGCATAGTGATGTTGCTATAAAGAAGACTACCATGCTGTAGACCGTTGCACTGCATACAGCACATAATACGTGATAAGCAACTATCACTTATCAGTTTATGTATTTACCAACGTTTTTATCAATACTTTGTGGAGCACAGTTAAGATAAACAATATTGTCTGCCATATTACCCAGTAGCCGCCTCATCCATCTCTTATTCACATCACAGCCAGGTTTGCAAAAGTGCACTCTGTGATGTTTGCATGATGACAACAATACCTAAGGAAGCATTTTTTGGAACATATTAAAAACATTTACTGCTTTGCAATAATTCTCCCAATAGAGTGTGAAAAGGGACAACAGATGATTCTTTTCCAAAGTATAAGGAGCAAGTGAAGACAAATGACATTTGGAGTGAGAATCCTTTAATAATTATATTCATTCCTGAAAACATTAATAAATACAGAAATTGCAAGCAATACATGTAACAGTAATATTTTCCTTAGAAAGCACTTTTATACAACCTATTAAGCAAGCACAATATTTTTGGAAATTAGCACTGGGAAAAGCTCACAACAAAATAAAATTACTACTAAAATTAAAAATTATTCTGGATCCTAAGTACTGAGGTTCCCACTCCAGGTAGTCCGTCACAGGGACAAGGGAATGGTGCAGAGGCCAGTTCAGCTTCGGGCAGCAGCAGTCTGAGGCTGCTCAGATTGGAGCTGTTTACCGAGATATTCCCTAGAAAACAGGAATATAACAGGGAAAATTAGAAAATCAGTAACAAAGACTCACTTTCAAAATGTAACAAATATTAACAAAATATCCCTAGAAAGTGAAACTTTTCCAAATTTCAAAAACTACCTATGTACTGTGTGAATCCTACACGTTCCATACATGCTTGTAACTCTGCACACACAAAGGAGGAATCGCAGGGCAATGTGATTTTACTTCTCAGGGAAAGTATTTTCTTGTTTACACAAAAGTCTTGCTTATTACTGCTCAAAATTCAATTATGATGCCAAGTGGTCTCATACATGAAAAACAAATTTCCCAATGCTAACAAATACACATACCACAGATTGGGATGCGCACAAGAGCAAAAAATAAATAAATAAATCACTGACAGTCACATCAAGGATCACAACACTAATCGGAGTTTCTTTATACAGACTCTCCCTGTGGACTGGTACAACCTGTAGCCCACATAAAGATGGTTGTGCTGATCCCACACAACAGTCACAGCCAAGGAACAATATTCGCATCCCACAGAGGGGCATCCAGAGAATTGCTTATGGAACTTTTTACATCACATTTTACTTCAGAAAATATATTGAATGTTCACAATGTAAGTATATGATATGTACATACATCTCTCTAGATTGCATACAGGTTCCACTATTAATTCCAGGACAGCAAGTGATTTTTTCCCCCTCTTTTCAAATGAAGAAGTAGACAAGCAGCAGGCACTGGGTTGATGCCTTACCCCTCCTTACCTTCTCAGCTGGCTACACAGCCTCTCCTCGTGTAAACAACGCCAGGATTTACACCTGGATACCTCAGAGTCTACCAATAAACACAAACCTGCCTTTCTCCAGAGCCTTACAGAAAGGGGGAGAGGGCAACCTACTTACCTACTGAACCTTCTGCTATCCGAGCTAGCTCAGAGTGGCAAAGATATGAAGGTAAAGTTGAGGAAAGAGGGCAGCACTGTCACTAGGCAAAGGTACATGTCACAGTGGAAAAGGACAGGGGACAGGGAGTCTGTGAGCCAGCTGTATACGAGGTGTCAAGGACCCCTCCCTCCTGAAAGCTGAAGAAAAAGAATGATTCAAAAGCCGAGAGGCTGATTTAAACTTCTATGACATGGAAATGATCTACTGTCTTTTTTTTATCATTACCAGAAAGTTCTTACAGATGACTCAATTTTAAATGTTATAGTACAGTATGTAACACTGTTGTGTTACCAGCAACTGTCCTGATATAATGTAGACAAGGGGGATCTTATTTTCTATGATGAGTTAGTTATGTCTAATTTACATGAAGGCCAAAAGGGAAGCCATCCTATAAATTTTATTAGACAGAAAAAACAAACTTTTTTGGTCAGCATTAATGCTGCTACTCTAGCAAGTGTTGTAACACGGGAGTATCTGTGGCTGCATAGGTTTGTTTTATTTTATTGGGAAAAGGAGATACTGTTTATTACAAAATTTCTCATTCTTATGTATATGTATATATTTTTTCCTCACATAGCCAAGGACTTACTCCTGAATTTAGATATGCTTCTCTTTAAGGAAGTCTTCAAATATTCCATTTTTAAACCCTAGGCTGTTAAGTGTGCTTTTTTTATAAAAGTGAATTCAAAGACCCTATGGCATTCTTCAGTTATAATAGGCTATGGTTCTTTCAATAAAAGACTCATGTTTAAGGACCATGTTCTACATGTAAGTTTCAAAGAGAGGTGGCAAGGGCATGCAGCAACACCCCCAGGAGCTCAGACTGGGAAATGCCATGTGACCACAATGTGTCCTTGTAGGTTGGTCACACAGAGAGGCTCTCAAATGCTCCATCTTTCCAAAGACTTGAAGGTTGGTTCATTCCCTACCATGCTAAAATATCTAGGGAACAACAGTGAAGAGGCAGGGGTAACTGATTTCTTCACAAAAGATACACTGTTAAAGGAGGGTCAAAGTAGGAGGGCTCTAGAACACAGCAAAGGCGACTTGTCTGGCAGAGAATAATTTAAAGACATGCCCAACATGGCTTCCTCCCACTCCCCTTCTGCTTAGTTATCTTCCTGGTCAGTCATGTTTGACAGATAACTGCCTCTCCCATACTTTGGTTTCTTTCATACCTAAAAGGTATCCCAGGAGCATCTACTACTTCATAACCTGAGTACCTGACATGTAGAAAAGCCAGCACCTCTTTTCTTGCCTGCTGATTTAGGAACTGGGGAGGACTGGGATACATACAGATGTAAAAGGTCCAAATGAGAACTTGAGCTCCAAGGGCCTGCATGGAGCTCTGTGGGGTACTGCAGGTCACACAATGCCAAAACAGCACAAAGAGCCCAGGTAGGACAGCAAATCACCTCTTGACGCTCTCTTAAAATTGCAGTGTCTTCTATGTTAAAATATAAGGGGGAACAGGGCTCAAGTGACAAAGATAATTTACTACAGAAAGGATCAAACTAAACTGTACAGAACTTGGTAAATTTTTTCCTTTGAACTTCATTTAAGAAACTTTGTAGTCTGCTCCCCTCAACACAAATGGCAACATGAAGTCAATTTAAACATTCCTAAGATCCAAGCCTGCCTTGGAATCCTCTGTGGTCCCAGGCACATACTAAGTGCCTATGGGTGGAACACAGAATGGTTACTACCATTCTGCACTGGGGTTTTTTATTTTTAGTTTTAGTTTTTCATTTGTTATTTTTTTGGTACTGGGGATTGAACCCAGGGCCTTCAAGCTGAATTACATTCACAGTCTTTTTAATTTTTTTATATTGAGGCAGGGTCTCACTAAGTCATTAAGTTGCCCAGACAGGGCTCAAACTTATAATCCTCCTGCCTCAACCTATCAAAGTGCTGTGATAACAGGTGTGTGCGAAGATGTCTGGCTCCATTCTGCTCTTTATGACAAGCCATTGTGAAAACTCTTACAAGTACACTCACATCTTATCCTATTCTTTCTTCACAGACCCTGTGAGCTGGGTGTTACCTTTACCATTAAGTGGTGACATGACCAGAGCCTCAGAAAATGTCAATTATTCACTCAAGGGCTGCCTTGGGCTCTCATCCCACTCTCCCCGAGCTGCCCAGTCTCCAAGAAGAGCTGGGCTTAAGGTGCTGGCTGCAGGTACTATTCTTATTTTTATAGATCAGAAAGTAATTAGAGACTGTGACTAATTTTTTCAAGTTAAAGTTACATTATTGTCTGGCAAAGGAAAAACTGATAGATCTTACTTCAGGTGATTGCACTGTATCTACATTAAAAGATTAAAGAAAAGATTTTTTTAGGGGCCAGGGATTTAGCTCAGTGGTGCTGCCACCTGCCTTGCAAGTTCAAGGTGCCAAGTTTGATCCCTGGTACCAGTAATAACAACAATAATAATAATAATTTCTTAATGAATTAACCTTTCTTTCTAGGTAACCAAAAAAATGCAATTTATAATTCATTCAAGTTACCTGATTTGTATCAACAATTTACAGGAGTTTGACATTAAATCTTTGTCTCTACTATTTAAGAAGCATAATTTGGTACCAATAAACTCAATAAAAAGAAAAAAAGGAGCATAATTTGAAAAATGTAACATTTTTCTTCTCTATTAATTTTGACAATAACTATTTTAATTTCACCAGTAACTATTATTTTGGGATTTCAAAATCTCTGAAACGGAAAAAAAGGCAGTCTGAAGACATGCCCCTTCTTTTATAAAAATCCAAGTACAAAACAACACATAAAAGGGTCCACAAGGTATGCTGCAGAGAGTTTGTCGCTGATGGAGAAACACTGAACACTGCTCTCCAGAGTTCCTATAAGGCACCTTGAGACAGCTGAGATCTGAAAGACAAAATCTGAAGACTCTGAACTACTGAGATTCTATTCTATGAGGAGCGAGGGCATCAGAAAGCCCAGCACTAGAACCGGTTTAGCCCCTTAGAACCATAGAAAGGCCTTCACCATCTTATATGTAATTAAATCCCACACCTCTACAATTTATTAGCTGTTTAAAGAGGCCAGAATTGCATTGTTTAAGTCAGTAACTAAAGACACTGACTGTGACAATACTTAACATGCTAGCTTCACCTATAAAATTAAAACACATGGTAAAGCCAGCTATATAATTTAGTGCCAGGAATAAAAGGAATTTTTTATTGACAAACATACTAATCAGTGAAAATCAAGAAGTCCTCTCATTTTCCCTTTAGCCTTAAATAACACAAAGCTCTGTAGAGAACCCACTCTTACTATCACTTTTGTATTATTTTCTCCAGTCTTTTTCAATGTGTAAATTTTTCAAAAACAAATAATAGACCTAGAATTCTATATACCATTGATTTCCATGCTACTTTAACACTATAATTACTGAAACTATAACAGAGTTACAATTATATGATACTTCTATTAACCTTTACCTATCATATTTCAGAAAACAAGTTGATAAAAGTAAATCATTAATGAACTGTTCTGAATGTATAAAAATAGCCTAATCTTCGAAAATATTAACTTTAGGACTATTTATAATACAGATTTGTATTTAGTAGAACAAAAATTGCAAACAATTTTATAGTCTTTTTCTTTAATGCTAATTTACTAGTGTAATTATAAATTTAATGATAAAGCCTTAAAATACCAAACACAAAGTAAATTTTGTTTTTTATGAATTGAAAAAAACAAAAACAAATTGTTCCTCTTACCTAACAACTGAAATCACAGTGTTTTTTCTCATATGCATCTAATTTTTGCAAACATTTAAATTACTAATAATGAATTCCACACTATTTTAAAATCTCAGCCTAGGAAAGTGCTACTTAACATCACAATAACCACTAGGATTTAGTGTCTGCTATCTACTAAGCACTGCACTAAGTGCTTGATGTACACTTTCTCACCTTCCACAATAACATCCATAAAAGATAAAAATGTGCTCCATTTTATAGATAAATAACTAGATGTCAGTAATGAAGAATGATATCCTGTAAGGTCCAGGTAACTCAGTGGTGAGAAGTATATGTATA